CGAGCCGAGCCCGGGGGTCCTGTGCAAGACACCTCACTTTTATAGCCGCTTCCCTCTCGTGCAAATGTACAGATTTTCTGGGAGGTCACCAATGCATTGTAGTTTCCTCAGGAAATCTGTGGTGTCACGGAGATAGCTGGGAGTGCTGGTGGCGTAGGGTCTGAGTAGGGAGTCCACATATCCAGGCAGTCCTTCCGTGAGAGTGCCAATGCCCGAGATGATGGGGCGTCCAGGATTTCCAGGTTTGTGGATCTTGGGTAGTAGGTAGAATAACCCCGGTCGGGGCTCTAAGGGTGTGTTGATTTGTTCCTGTGTTAGTGTAGGGAGTGTCCTGAGCAGATGGTGCCGTTTCTTAGTGTATTCCTCAGTGGGATCTGAGGAAAGCGGCCTGTAGAATTTGGTATTGGAGAGTTGTCTGGCGGCCTCCTTCTGGTAGTCAGACCTGTTCATGATGACAACAGCACCTCCTTTCTCAGCCTCTTCGATGATGATGTCAGGGTGGTTTCTGAGGCTGTGGATGGCATTGCGTTCTGCACGACTTAGGTTATGAGGCAAGCGATGTTGTTTTTCCACAATTTCTGCCTGTGCACGTCGGCGGAAGCAATCTATGTATAGGTCCAGACTGTCATTTCGACCCTCGGGAGGAGTCCAGGTGGAGTTCTTCTTCCTGTGTTGTTGGTGGGAGGGTATCTGTGTATCAGCGCGCTGTGCAGTGTTATCTTGAAAGTATTCTGTGAGTCGAGGCGGCGAAAGTAGGCTTCCAGCTCACCGCAGAACTGTATCATCTTCGTGGGGGTGCTGGGGCAAAAGGAGAGTCCCCGAGATAGGACACTCTTCTGCCGGGCTGAGAGTAGCTGGATAAATTGAGGATATTGCTGGTGAGTTCGGGGTACCCCTGTTGTGGCCCCATGTGGCAGGTAGGATTTTAGACAGCTTACGGTCCTTTCTCCTCTCTAGAGCGGTGAGGTGTGTACCGCAGATCTCCGGTCTGGCTGTAGCGAAGTCCGGTTGTGTGGAGGGCTGGTTATGAGAGGCTCTTTTCTGAGGTTTTCCTGGTGGCTGTCTAGGATGCTGATCAGGGGGTTCCTCAGTTTCTTTGATAGAGGCAGCCCACTTGACACGTCTGATCGGCCTTGGGTCTGGCTCCCAGCCCCCCGACCGGCTGAGACTGTCTGGAGGTGCTGCCTTCCCCGCCTGGCTCATCCACCCTCGGTCATTCAACCCGGCAAGTGATCGAGAGCGGGGGGGATCTTGTTCTACTCCCAGCAAAAAGACATTTTTCTTCTCTCTTATTCTATCCTGAGGGGCTATAATATTATACCAAGGGCAATGCAAAGTGCCCACGTGAGGCTTTGCTACAAAGTCCCATGAAAACAGAGGTTTTTACAAGGTTATGTGATGAGGCACAATGTAAAGTCATATGAAAATTATCAGAGATTTATCTACAAGTTGGGCCTGGTGGGTCAGAGCAGGGGGGCTGGGAGCCAGGACTCCTGGGTTCTCTCCCCAGCTCTGGGAGGGGAGTGGGGGCTGGTGGTTAGG